CAGCCAAATGAGGACTGGACGTCCTGCTATGAGGCTTTAAATCAAGCCCTGAATATGAACAGATTCAGATTCACTTCACAGCCCAAACATTGACACAACTGATGTTTGCTTTTTTTTTAAGTAGGTCATAAGCAAACAGGTAAAATATTCAGACCTGTTGAAATGTGGACACTCAAAGAGAGGACAAAGAGCTGGTGGTGGAGCACGAAGTGTGACCCTGCTGTGGTCAGAGCTGAATAAATAATCACTGAATGATTGAGTGATCCAGAAAAAGGTTCAAATCTCTGGACTGCAGCAGCTTTAAGGCCTTCATACAAACACAGAAAGTGAAGTGTAGACATACTCACACTCCACACACACTCTAAATTTTGACTCTCACTCATGCTCTGCATGTGCTCAACTTTGTGGAGGAGTCTGCTGATGACTTTTGGACATGGTATTTGCAGTTAGTTCATGTTTGGGCGTGTTGCTGTTTGTGAGTTTTGCCTGATGTTGAAATTGCCTCGCTCTCTTTCCGATTTCTCTTCCTGACCTACATTTTTCATTTCAGATAAACACTTGTGCTTGCATGAGAGAGAAGAGTGCTTAGTGAAAAAATCCATCCTGTTTTATTCTCTTATTATGCGGTTGACCGCTTGCCACACGGTTCCTGATGTCTCCTCAGTCCGTGACAAACAGACAGAGAGACTCGGCACATCGCTAAGGTCATCAAATGGTAACCTCCTATTGCCAGTGTTTCACTAGGTCAGGTCCATGACGCCCTCTAGCATCCCATTTCCTCAGACTGGATGATCACAGACTATCTCCCATCTTCAACCACATTAGTGAAATACTTTTATCAAGTTACAGTTGAAAGGAAGAACTTCCTTAAACAGGCAGAAACCTCAAGCGGGACCAGACACATGTTAGACTGTCATCTGCGGAGACTAAACTGGATTTATGGAGGAGAGGGAGATGAAGAAAGAGAGAGATGGACAGAAGTGAGGTTGATGCATATGATAATAATAATTATAATAATAATATATTTAGTTATTATTAACTAGTAATTATTATTGGCGAGTTATTAATTATTATTGCTATTATCATTATGTGCCTGCCAAGTCAAGCTAGAAAAACTGCATTTCCTTGCAGAAAATGCGTGGAAATGCTGAGTGCTGAAAAAGCAATGCAAAACTGCTAAAAAATGGAGGAAGGTATAAATGTAAAAGCTGTTGAGGGGGTGAAAAAGTAGTGGAAGTTGGATAATTGTGAGAATGTTTGAAGGACAAATAGTATGAATACGCTCCATAAATTGAAATTTTTTCCATGCTGAAAGAGGCTAGAAAAATGTCTGAAATTGCACAAAGTTTGAATGAAGAAGTAAATTACCTTAAAAGGCAGGAAGGTGAGAAGTGGCGTGAGAGGTGAGTTTAAGTTGTAGTTCTAGTAGTGGTATGATAAGTAGTCATAGTAGTGATATTAGTGGTCATATTCATAGTCATAGTAGTTTGAGGATAGAAGAAGTATAGGTCAAAGTAGTAGAGCTAATCATAGAATTAATAGTAGCAGTAAAGAAAGTATTATTGGTATCAATAGTAGTTGAGGAAGAGGTGAAGGTACTTGTTAAAGTGATATTAGTAGTAGTTGTAGTAGAAGTTGGATTTTGTTTGAAGAACTGAATAATGCATGAATGCATGAAAACAGGGAAAATAAAATGAAAACCCTATAAATAATTAAAAATCTGAAATTATGAGGGAGGTTTGAAGTATCAGAGAGGTTTGAATCAATTTCAATGAGTTTTAAGTTGTTTAAAGAATCGAATAACGCAATAACAATGAGAATAATTTTAAAGTGGGGAAAATTTGAATTAAAAAAAAATCCTGAATACACCCCATTGTGTCCTTAATGAGCTGAATTTTTGAAGCCCTGCATGGTTTCTGTAGCTCAAAGTTGGTGGGATAGGATAGATGCTAAAGTTTGTCAAGCGCTATTGTAAAGGGTTTTAAATGTAACCCTCAGTGCTCTGTGTACTGAGCCTGGCTTCATGTGTCTCACATGACCATTAGAAGCAGCTTTCCAGTCAGCTGTGTGTCTTCAGGTGCACTAATTGGTTAATATGGTGACGGTAGATACATCACTACAGCAGGAGAAAGGAGGCTTGAAGCTCAGAAAGTAGTTGTAGTAGAGTGTGTGTGTGTGTGTAGGTCTTACAGAAAGAGACTCAAGCACACACATGGTCAAAGTATGTGCATGTAGGTCTAATAGACAGAGAGAGACTCATGCACACACAAATGATTACTGTGTGTACCTTAAGATTTAATAGACAGAGACTCCCACACACAAACATGGTCAGTGTGTGTGCGTTTATGTGTCTCATTAATCAATGCATTCTAAACAGTTGTTAGAGATCAAAGGGAAACACCGACCAACTGTTTGAATGAGAAGCTGCCTACCTCCAATGAAATTGATGCCTCTGAACTTCTTCACTTTGCGCAATTTTCTTAAATCCCAGCATGAAAATAAGAACATCATAGGAATCATGAGACCCTCATGAACACAATAATGTGTTTTTCACATTTGTACTCTGAAAATGTGGCCACAACAGCGAGTTAAAAAGTGCTGACCCTAAGTGACTGTCAGGATTTTCTGGCGGAAAGATTACATTACAGTCAATGGGCAGAATCTCTGCCCACCTTAAACAGGTGGTCACCTGCTGGCCAAGAGGTACAATTTCTTAATTTAAAACCTGTTGTGAGAAGCAGGACTTATTTACCTCCATTTTAATGTATTTTTTTTGGCTGTGGAGTGAAATTTGTGGGTGTGGTAGCAATATATTCAAGCTAGGTTTTGTTGCTCAAAGATGATCCTTCCACTCTAGTGATGATGTCACACTCTCAAGGGGTAAGGGGATGTGTCAAATATGGTGCTGATATGTCAAAGTGTTGATGATTTAGGGCCTTTGTCATGAATCTGATGTGAAACTCAAGGCAATCCAGCTCACTCTGGGTGAATCTCGATATGCGTTCTTCTGTGTTCTTGCTTTCTTGTCTCCTTGTGAAACGTCATCAGTCTAAGACAAGTTTTGTCTCAATACACAAGTTGACATCTCACCAAGAAGGGTTACAATATCCGGATGTTTTCTTGGCACGCCCATTTTACCGAGGATGCATAGGATGGTAACTTGTGATAACTAGCTGGTGAAGATATCCCAGAATGCACTTCGACCCTGTGTGAGTCAGCTTCATTTTTTGGGGAAGACGCCATTAAGACGGTGAGTTGTTTCTACATTTTTGTCTGTTACGATGCCCTTAAATTAATTTCTGAGACTATTTCAGGTGAAAAATCAAGGGTATCCTTGCTAAATACAGGCGGCATTATGAACATAAATGGAAAATTAAAAATTAGCTCCAGTGTATTTGGAGCTGAAGCTCCACAGCCCAGCTAGTGTAGCTAATGTTGTGACATTTAAACTTTTCATGTAAGGGACATCTAAGGAAGCTACCACCCTTATTGAGTGGTGGGCAGCCCATGAAGCCCTATCTACCGGGCGGAGGAATGCCTCCAGAAATGGATGGGAGTGAGTGTGTTTTTTTGTGTTTGTATGCCAGCCTCTAAGTGGCCAGTATGTGTTTCATTGTAATTATCTGACAAACTGCTGCATCAGAAAAGAAAGAGCGAGTGAATCACAGAAATTATATTAAAAAAAAAAATAATAATAATAATGTGGTGATCAGATGGTGATCCAGGTGGGCTGTTCAGCAGTATTGTGCACTATCAAGCTGTGCAAAGCACTACTAACGAGTCAAATCAAACTGTGTGAGGCACCACTACGTCAAATAAATAATACAAATGATTTAATTATCAGCTCTGTCACAACAATAATAATAACAGAACTGTCACCCAACCAAATTGTAGTGTGTATGTATCCAACAGGTATTATTTCCACAATAACATGTTGTACATATTTTTTGTGTTTCAGAGTCTTTGTAATGGAATCGGGGCTCAATGTGACCCCAAAACAAGCCACCAACAAGTGGAATAATCTGAAAGAAAATTATAAGGTAATCAACCATTTTATCCCCCCCCCCCCCACCACAGTGTTTTAGATTTTATTCATGCGTTATTTTGTAGGAGCTTAGGGATCCCCCAACAGGGAAAGGGGTGGAGGCGGGTGGGGTGACCGCTGCCACCTGGAAGTGGTACTGGATGATGGACGCTGCACTCCAGGGGCAGCATTCCATCAGTCCGCCCCTGGTAGTGGCAGCCAACCTGACCTCCACTTCAGGTGGTGTTGTCACCTCCCCGTCCTCCGCCACTCCAAGAGAAGGAGCACCACTGCCCAAGAAGAGGGCAAAAATAGGGGAAGAACTTCTAAGATTCACGAAAGAGCAGGCAGAGATGGACGAAGAGCGAGAGAGGGAGGCAGTGGCCAGAGTAGAGGCGAGGGAGAGAGCAGCAGCAGAGATAAGAGGGCGGACAGATATTTGAAGTTATTTAAAAACTTGTAGACAAATTTTAAGTGTTTTTATCAAATCATTTTGTTTTCAGTTGTTAGTTCATGGTTATTTATTGAAGATTTGTGTTTTTTTGTTTATTTAATAAATATGTTGCACATCTATGGGGATTGCATTTATTCCCTTAATTCATTAATTATGAAACACTTGTGCTTCATAATTAGAGCACTTTTTAACTTTGCCTGTAGATAGCTATTGGATTGACGAAACATTATTCGAAACAAAATGGAGATATTTATTTTCCCTGTCGCACTTTTTAGTCTGTGGGTTGAGCATTTAAAAAAAACTGTTAATCATCATGTACACAATAATTTTAATCAAAAAAGTTATTCAAATATTTCACATACAGCAATTAAACTCTTAAACTATCACACTTTAAGAAAATAACTGAATTCAACTATTTACATTATGATTTAACAACACAAAATTGACAATAAATGAACATTGCTTTTGACAATATAATAACGATTACTTGAAAAATGATCAAATCTTTTTGCTTTATTCAATTTACATATCTAAACTAAATGTGCAGGCAGCTCTCTGTTGGGAGCGGACATCTGTGCAGCCAGTCTGGCACGAAGGTTGACACTGGAGTGCTCTGTAGTGTTTTCGGTTGTGCTGTTTTCCTGACACCCCCCCCCCCCCATCATCTTCATGATGTTCCTCCTCTGGGATATCGCCTGTGGCCAGGCAGAGGTTGTGGAGGATGCAGCAGGCTGTGACCACCTTTGGGGCAAAAACAGCCCGAATCTCCAAAGCCCGTAAGAATATGGCTCTCCAGCGGGTCTTCAACATGCCAAAGGCTCGCTCCACCACATTCCTGGCCCTGGTGTGATGCTGGTTGAAGCGTTCCTCAACGCGGCCTAATTGTGAAAGATACAGATGAGTACTTCTCATGTTAATGTTTCAATCTGATAGAAATCCCAGAATGCAAATGCATAGAAACAACTGCTATGTGATGTAATAAACATTTTCCTCAGTCTTTTCTTACCTGCTAAGGGATGGCGGTATGGCATTATGATGGTGACTGGATGCCGCAGGCATGGGTACCCTCCATCCCCAAGAAGGGCGTAGCCAGCGGGTGGATAAAGGTACTCTTTATACATGGGTGACCTCCGAAGGACCAGGGCATCATGCACAGAGCCGGTATTTCCCATTCCAGAGCTGTCACACACAGTTATCACTTGTAGTTACAATATATATATATATATATATGTACCTCTATAAATATACAGCGACTAAATATCGTTTGTTAATTTTAAAAATGGGTAATGAAATGGTATTTTATAGTTACATAACTTAAACAACCAGAGACAAATGCCAGGATGGCACGATGTCTGTTCCTCCTCCTCCTCATTCTGGCTCATCGTACCTGCTGCTGTCTCCTCAGCTCCGAAGCCTCTCTGTCTGCCTCTTGGTACAAAATGCCAACAGCCAAAATTGTGGCTAATTTCTCTGTATCCATCTTAAAATTTGACCAAATAATGCTGTTGCAGAGTCAAACAGCCAGCTCTCAAAAAATCGCCATTGTCTCCTAACCATTGAGGCTTGCGCTCGCTTAACTGATGTTAAAAAGTGGTCACGAGCTGCAGCGGCTCTTTCATATATATATATACACACGTGGACAAAATTGTTGGTACCCCTCAGTTAAAGAAGGGAAAACCCACAATTCTCACGCCTGGTTCACACTGGAAGCGCCGCGCGCAGAACGGAAGCGCCGCACACAGAGTTTCGGATCGGCGCCCATGTTAACCTATGAGACTGTTCACACAGCACGCGCGCGGAAGCGCCGCGCGCGGAACGGCTCGCGCTCTGGAGCGCGGGTGCTCCGCTTCTCTCTATTTTCGGCGCGAGCCGCGAGCGCCGATGTAAAGCTCAACAGAGCAGATCGGACCAGACAGGAAGTCAGGAAGGAGATGCGAGAGAATCCGGTCAATTTTCAAAATAAAGTAAATTTCAATAAATTAGAAAAGGATTTACGGTGTTGCTTGTCAGTCTATTTTTTTTTACCGATGAACACACACACACACACACACACACACACACACACACACACACACACACACACACGCACACACGGAGGGAGAGCTGCAGAGATTCAGTGATGTTATTGAGACAAAGAGGGGGGGGACTTTATTACGATACAGTCAATAGCCTCGAGCTAACAAGGCTATACATACAACGGAGTCAACAGACTCCCCAATTTATTCGTCGTTTACCCCTATATAATAATTTAAAACATTACTTGAAGATGCTGTCAATATTTAATTCATGTATGACGAAATAAAAACGTAAATAAATAGTGATTTACCCATTTTTAAAGCGCTCGTAAGTGTGGAAAACTGAGGGCAGACGGAAACGGCCGAGCACTACCGGGCTCAGTCGATGTCTGACCGGCATGTCAGAGCGCAGCAGAAAGCGCTTCCTGTGTGAACAGCCAAGCGCGAGCTGGCGCTGCGCGCGCGCGCGGCGCTTCCTGTGTGAACCAGGCGTCACTGAAATCACTTGAAACCTACAAAAGTAACAATAAATAAAAATTTATTGAAAATTAAATAATCAAAATCAGCCATTACGTTTGAAATGTTGATTAACATAATTATTTAAAAAAACAAACTAATGAAATAGGGCTGGACAAAAATGATGGTACCTCTATAAAAGATTGAAAACTATTTGACCAGAGTGACATGATTAACTCAGGTGTGTCCTTTAATTGACATCACAGGTGTTTCCAAACTCATAATCAGTCAGTCTGCCTATTTAAAGGGAGACAAGTAGTCACTCTGCTGTTTGGTGAAAAGGTGTGTACCACACTGAACATGGACAACAGAAAGCGAAGGAGAGAATTGTCCCAGGACATCCGAAAAAAAATTATAGACAAACATCTTAAAGGTGCAGGCTATAAGACCATCTCTAAACAGCTTGAAGTTCCTGTGACAACAGTGGCTCATATTATTCAGAAGTTCAAGACCCACGGGACAGTAGCCAACCTCCCTGGACGTGGCCGCAAGAGGAAAATTGATGACAGATTGAAGAGACAGATAGTTCGAATTGTATCCAAAGAGCCCAGGACAACCTCCAAAGAAATTAAAGGTGAACTCCAAGGCCAAGGTACATCAGTGTCAGATCGCACCATTCGTCGTTGTTTGAGCCAAAGTGGACTTCATGGGAGACGACCAAGGAGGACACCACTGCTGAAAAAAAATCATAAAAAAGCGAGACTGGAATTTGCAAAAATGCATGTTGACAAGCCACAAAGCTTCTGGGAGAATGTCCTTTGGACAGATGAGACCAAACTGGAGCTTTTTGGTAAGGCACATCAACTCTATGTTCATAGACTCAAAAACCAAGCATACGAAGAAAAGAACACTGTCCCTATGGTGAAACATGGAGGAGGCTCAGCAATGTTTTGGGGCTGCTTTGCTGCATCTGGCACAGGGTGTCTTGAATGTGTGCAAGGTAAAATGAAATCTGACGACTATCAAGGCATTCTGGAGAGAAATGTGCTGCCTAGTGTCAGAAAGCTTGGTCTCAGTCGCAGGTCATGGGTCTTCCAACAGGACAACGATCCAAAACACACAGCCAAAAACACCCAAGAATGGCTGAGAGAAAAGCGTTGGACTATTCTAAAGTGGCCTTCCATGAGCCCAGATCTGAATCCCATTGAACATCTGTGGAAGGAGCTGAAACATGCCATTTGGAGAAGACACCCATCAAACCTGAGACAACTGGAGCAGTTTGCTCATGAGGAGTGGGCCAAAATACCTGTTGACAGCTGCAGAACGCTCATTGACAAATACAGAAATCGTTTAATTGCAGTGATTGCCTCAAAAGGTTGTGCAACAAAATATTAAGTTATGGGTACCATCATTTTTGTCCAGCCCTATTTCATCAGTTTGTTTTTTTAAAATAATTATGTTAATCAACAATTCAAAAGTAATGGCTGATTTTGATTATTTAATTTTCAATAAATTTTTATTTATTGTTACTTTTGTAGGTTTCAAGTGATTTCAGTGAGAATTGTGGGTTTTTCCTTCTTTAACTGAGGGGTACCAACAATTTTGTCCACGTGTGTATATACCAGTGGCGGCTGCTGGTCTTTCAAGGAGGGGAAACTCATTTTTCTGGCCTACATCATAATTGTGTTTGTTTATTAGTATGTAACAGAGCAGAGTCGCCAAACACAACGGCAGTCGTTTTTAACAAAGACAAAAGTCGCCGAGGATCGGTAAAGTCTCTGGAGCAGTTAAGAACAACGGAATGAATAACTTGGAAAATTCTTTGGTAGATGTTTTATTCTTCAAGATCGCTGATTCGCTTGTTTAGCTGTCAATCAAAAAAGGATTTTGCCTCAGACAGCTCATCCAATCATGGATGCAGAAGCTCGGAGTCCGGGAGAAAGTCGGGACCGCCCTCTCGTCATAGAACTCCAGAGACGCCGGTTTCCTGTGATTATCAGCTTCTTATCACAGTGTGATAAGAAGCTGATTCTGAACAAAAGATGAAGGCTTTCTAGCACGTATTTAGTTAATGAAATGTACACACAGCAGTACGTATTTCACCACTTTTCTTTTTTTGGGGGGGGCTGACATTTTAAGGGAAGCTGAGCTTCCCTTGCAGTCTTAGAGCAATCGCCACTGATATATACATATATATATATATATATATATATATATATATATATATATATATATATACACTACAGGCCAAAAGTTTGGAAGCAAGGCCATTACAGGCCGAAGAGTTGGGAGTAACTTCAAGTTTTTGTTCACAATGCTTTTTTTAAAATCCAACATGAGTTTTATGTATTTTGGGATGTATTTACTCCATGATCATATGTTGCTTTCATGGAAATGCCATTTACCTTTAGATAAACATTGATGTTAACAGACTATTGCTAAATATATGTCAGCAAAAGATAATAAGGGCTTAGTTTTAGGGTTGAAAACATTTGCAAGAGTCACAACTTTAGTGCAAAAGCAAAAAAAAAAAACAAATCACAGTTGGATTATTCACTTCAACTTTTTGGCTTTTGAGAGTCTGCATACAAAAATCCTAATAAATCTCAACTGCGTTCAAACTACCCCAAAAATGGCAAGAATGAAGCAACTGAGTAAAGAAACAAAAGTACAGATTTGTACATTGAGGAAAGAAGGATACACAGAAAGAGAAATTGCAAAACGCCTGAAGGTGTTTAACAAAGGAGTCCACTACACTCTGAAGAGACTAGAGGAACCTGGAAGTTATGATGATAGAAAAAGACCTGGACAAAAGAGAATTACTACAAAAGCAGAGGATAAACATATCCTTGTCACCAGTAAGAGAGATTGGTGAAAGACAGCACCACAAATAATAAGGGAAGAAATCAACATGACAAGGTAGAAACTCATATCTCTGACAACCGTGAAAAAACATTTGAGAAAGGCTGGTCTGAAGGGTTGTGTATCTGCAAAAAAACACTACTTCATCCACAGAACAAGAAAAAGAGATGTGAGTGGGCAAAAGCTCACAAAAATTGGACTTATGATGATTAGAAACAAGTTTGCACTGTTTGGTTCAAAACGCAGAGTCTATTTTCGCAGACAAACTGGTGAACGTCTGAAAGCACCATGTGTTACACCCACAATTCAGCATGGAGGTGGTAGTTCCATGGTATGGGGATGTTTTGCAGGTGATGGAGTAGGAGATTTGTTTAAAGTAAAGGGTATCATGAAGAAGGAACAGTACCACTCCATCCTCCAGCACCATGCTGTTCCATCTGAACTCAGACTTGTGGCTCATAAGTTTGTTTTGCAGCAAGACAATGACCCAAAGCACTCTGCCAAGCTCTGTCAGGGTTACCTAGACAAAAAAGAAGAGGAAGGTGTTCTTCAAAAGATGGTTTGGCCCCCTCAGTCTCCAGAACTTTCTCCAATTGAGCTTGTGCAGGATGAATTGGATCGATCGGTCAGAAAAATGCATCCCACGAATCAGCAGTCTCTTTTTAATGAACTTAAGAAAGCTTGGAATGCAATCCCTGGAACATACCTTAAAAAACTTGTGGAACGAATGCCTGGTATATGCCAAGCTGTTGTTAAAGCCAGAGGAGTTTACTTTAAAGAAAGCAAAGTCTAAGCAACAATAACTCAAATACCTAATAATTATAGTCAAAATGTCTTCC